CTTACTTAAGACATTATTGTTTTAATGTGTTATGGCATACGGAAATTGATTAAAAAATACTAAAATGCAGATAATAATTTCAAGTGAAAGATATAATTTCTTCTTCTCAGGCTCTTGATATTTCTTCCTATCTTTTTGTTAACATTTTATCGTCGTTTTGCCTTTCTTCTGTCTGAAAAATATTAATGTCGGTCCGCAGCTTCAAATATAATAGTTTTTACTTGAAGAAGGTATTTTACAGTTTTGTGACGGAATATTGTGAATAATTTCAGCAGAGTTCTGACGGATTCGGAAATCCCTTGCGGTTTGGATTTTCTTACCGTCTCGCGACTGCCTCGGCTAATTTCCGCGCAGCCGACGCATTAGAACTGCAAATATTCCGATAACGCGTGTCCTGACATCGAGAAATAAATGTTCTGGTTTGTATAACGATAAGGCACACGCACACGCACGTTCACACAAGTAAACGCGAAAGTGTTGGCACACAAGGGGATTAGTGCCCCCCCGGAAAAGCCAATCGAAAGATCGGAATTAATTTAATTAAACTGCGACTTCGAGAGAAACTTTGCTCGGTACATTTAACGCCGAACAATGTTTTGACAAAACGAATGAAAGACGCGACGAAAGGTGAGAAATATTTTTCCCCGCTTTTCGCAACAGTCTTTTATTTATTTCTCTATTTATAATTTTATATATTATTATATAACAGTTTATTAATATAATATTAGAACAAGGTGTATTTTATTCTATTTTTTACACAGTGACTAAAGATTCCGTTTTTTAATCACATGTTAAGTTTTATCCTTATTTAAATAACTATAACATTCCTGGTATCACTTCACTTAGCGTAATCTTGTTTAAACATTTAGATTTTACACCTGCACGTTTATATCGCGCAAAAACCTTCTATTCGATCGTCGAATTTGCTCGAAGTGCTTATCAGTCGATTCTTCGCAAATTTCTTCTTGGTTATTGCAGAAGTTATCGCTTATAGTCGTCGACTCTATTTAGAAATGATAATTATTCATGAAATCATTCAGTCGTACACTTATCGCTGCAAAACTAGCGCCGTAATTTGTGCTTCCCCAGTATCACCCAAGTAACCGCAGTTATACAAATTGCAGTTACATATAATTTCTTAATCAGCAATGTAATGTAACATGTAAACATTACATTTGCCCCGCAGAAAATTAAAATATTGATGCTATGCAACTGTTAGTGTTCACTAGGTTGTGCTACGTTATTCGATTTACGACCTTTAATTTCATCGCGTTCATAATTCGACAATGATTTATTTCTTTTATTTTTAACGAGTTTTTATTTCGTTATTTCTTTTAACGAATTTATTTCTTAACGAGAATATATAGTATTATTAGACGATCCAACTGGCAGATGGTATATATTATTTATTTAATAGATTACATCCGACATTTCGACCATCCGGATTGTGGTCATTTTCAAGCGTACCAACAAGTCAAGACATAGGTACCTATAGAAACAGGAGAACGTATTTTTTGCAATTTAACCGATAATTTAACCGTAATCTATTAAATAAATATACCATCTGCCAGTTGGGTCGTCTAGTCTTTCTATTTTGGTTAATTATATACTGGCGATAATAGACTGTATTTATTTCTTAGTTATTTTGAGTCTAATTATTTCTATTTGTTAGCTCTTGCGCTCTTGGGATTCCATCTATATTCGCCTTCCATTTCGGAAAGTCTCAATTAGGTTAATTACCATAAAAGGTCTAATAATTCATTCCAGTAATTAATCTAATTAATTTTCTAATTAAGTTAACCATAATGGGCTTTTCAGTACATATACAAGGATTACGAGTCTCTAACGCGTAAAGTAGCGCTGTACATGAATCAACATGACTCGACTGATTCACACGCCCTTTGATTTCGTTTAATCATCGCTGTACTGGGTGATTCAATACGATTTATAATCAGCAAATGGGGTGAACTCGACAAATCTCATTTATACTCTGTACGGACATCACACGAATAGCGAACTGCTGTCACGAGTCGTGCAACTTGATATTCGTTCAGAGACGTCGCTTCAACGTCTGGGAATTCTAGACGTACGATTCGGTTTACCTTCGCTGGCATTTTTGTTCTCGCCATGTATTTTCGCAGATGTCACAGATTGCGAAAACAGGTAATAAAAAAATTACACCGCGCGCTTTTCATATCTGTCTTTAACGCTTGACTCCGATTTACCTTATTAAGCTGCTCCTTATCATAGCCTTGCGAAGTGTTGCCACGAACCGCTTTTGACAATTCATTTTATAACGCAAGCTTAACATGATATTGAATTATATTATCTCTTTCAAACACGAATTTTTATGTCGTCTTCCAAAGAAGCTTGATTAGAGAAGCGATTGCTTCAAGATGCGGTGTCTTCGAGAAACTTTTGTAAAATAATTTTTACGATATTTTGTATGTATATATACGCATATAAAATATACTTCTTAAAAAGATTTATTACTTTATTAAGTTCTACCATTGATTATTGCACAGATGACATATTATTATCAATAATCGATCGCATAGATAATCGTATCTTGATACAATGTACATTCATTTAATATCCATTATATAATATTATATTGATGAGATCTCTCTAAAGATTGATTAATAGGAAGTGAAAATAATTACAGATCTCGAATTCTCTCTATCTCTCTCTCCCTCCTCTCTCTCTCTCTCTCCCTCTCTCTCTCTCTCTCTCTCTCTCTCTGTCTCTCACACTTTAGTATTAAAGCATATTGATCCAATCTTATCAAAAATAAAAATTTATATTATAGATATTATTTGTGCAAGTTGTGTGCCAGGAGAACAACATCCTTTCATAAATTCTTAAATTCAATGCGATTACGAAAGTGCACCATTGGCTTGTTATCACTCGAGAGCAGATTAAATTTGTCCCGAACTTTGTATATCCGTCGCGCGTGGATTACATTTTCCATGGATATCTTATGTTTCCTCATGAATAATGTATTTGTGCACATATCCAGATTCCAGGTAGCGTATAAAATTACAGAGAGCAAATAAAGTTACTTCGTAGGTACATCGGTATTGACATACGAATTTAGAATTTGTAAATCTTGTATGCAGAGAGAGAGAGAGAGAGAGAGAGAGAGAGAGAGAGAGAGAGAGAGAGAGACGCATTCGAATAAACTTCTATGAAGATTGATCTTTGCTTGCATAAAAATCTAAGATCAACGACGGCGTTTGAGTTCATCGTGAACATTTTTATTTTTACGAAGAGAAGCTCATTAACCGATTTCTTTTTAATTAGCACTGTTTAGCGAAATTATTGATTATTTACGTCCTGAATCGTGATTGTCAAGGTAATCTTATGGTTGGTATGGATTAATGTGGAAATTAATGGAAAGCTGGGATGACGAGTAAAAATTAATGCAAAGCCAGCGTTTTGAAAATTATTCTGTGCTCCAGATACGATTTCCTGTAATACTTTCGTCACGTGTCGCTCGAATAATTCATCGAGTTCTTATGCAAACGATTTCGGGACTTGAACTCTTTACGGGTGATCATTCAACCGGGGGAAAAAAGGAAAAAATCGCACTCGGCGCTCTGTGCATATCGAAACAGATAAACGACTAATTTCAATGACAGTCCGATTACAAAAATTACAAAAGTGTCTTACCTAGTTATACAGTATCTTATCTCGTACCGGGTGAATAACCGCGGAGCCAAATATTTAGAATATTAATAGAAGAGAGTCCCCTATTATGAGACAGACTTTTAACTTGAGATAGTAGACTTTCAACATCCAAATTCAATCACAGATCTTTTTTCGCAACGTTTACACGATCCAACTATGAATTTTCCACTAAACACATCTCACTCCAAGAGCAATAAATTCACGGTACAATCAACACTCGATGTCTATTAATTTAGCAAAAACCCTGCTACCTCATATTAGGAGCTTGTCTCACAACAGGGGACTTTCCTCTATATAGAGATACATATACAGAGTAAGAATGATTATTTGTTATTGCTGTACAAATTATTTTTGTGTAAAGCTCATAGCTAAAAAATAATGAAACGATTGTCGTGTCGAACTTAAGATAAAATTAGAATTTAAACTCTTCAGAGTTGCATCGCAATTTTTAAACGCGATTTACGATCAAAGAATTTTATCTTATTCTAATTGCTTGGATCAGAGAAAGCCGAAATTTATAATTTAATCGCAATAAAGTCAAACAACGCTTCGGTACCTCAAAGATAAAGTTTCGAGTGTGAAGTTTTTTGAAAGCACGAATGAAAAAAGATTTATCGAAAAATGGCAGGAGAGAACACTGTTGTTTTACGAACTTAAAATAGGAAAGAGTGAGAACAAGATCGGCCTCATTGTTTTCGTACACGATTTTGGTCACGAATTGGGTACCAAAGGAAAAGTCTCGTCAAGACAATCGCAGATATGTCGGTCTCTTTATTTGCTTAGGCCCTAACGTTCCAGAGATATCGGGCTCCAATCATTTCAAAACCGAGTTGGAGTCGACTAAAAAGCCCAGACAGCACACCATGTCTAAAAAGACAGCTTTAAGACGTCTTTAAGTCTAAAAGACGTCTTAAAGAGCGTCTTTATGATGTCTTTTAGATATGTGTGCTGTCTGGGAGGTTTCCCAATAGTCGACGCTAATGACATCATCCTGTATTTTCTATGAACCTAAGTAAGTTTTAGGTACATTAAGTGAATTCTTATCTCTTTTATTTCCTACAATCTAACCAATAGGTTCGATCGAAAGCATTCATGACGTCATGTTTCGGCACTGGAACCTTTGGAGCCCGATATCTCTGGAACGTTAAATAGGTACACTCTGAGATATCTGTATCAGCTTGACGAGATTGGTTTGGTACCTACTTTGGTACCTACTTTATGACCAAAGTCAAATGCGAACAAAATGGGGCCATTTCCCTATGTACACACTTGTCCTCTCTCTTTAAATTTCATTATTACATTGCAACCTCAGAATGCGAGCTCTGTGAACGGTTCGAAAAGAGTTATTGTTACGCACCAAAGGAACTGTTATGATTCGCGGCTGTGGAACAAAGTATTCGATGTCGCGGATGAAGTGTACTTGGAACAGCAAACACATAGACGCAGAGAACACGAAAACATTGAAACAACGAGCGATAAGAAAAGTGAGAAATGTACCGCGAGAAGATTTATCGGGGATGTTTAATCAACGCCGCGGAGCACAGCTGCCCCAGCTTTTCGTAACGAATCGTAATAACGCGCAATAACGCGAAACTCGCGTGCCGAGCGAGGGAAAAATAACTTCTCCGGGCTCGATTACGATTACAATCGAGCTACGTGAAATCCCACGCATCGCTGATAAGCGCGATATGGTAACCGCCGGTGCCTAGATAAGATATTGCGGACTTTATCAAATCTCCCTCGGCGACGGAAAGAAGAGACGAGGCGCGTGTAGCAGTTGCCTCACGATTGGTACACGATGTAGTTGCTCTCCGAGGTCTCTCTTCGTCGTCTTCTTCTCCTCTTTTCTTCTCCGCGACGGGTGTGATCGGATGCAATCGCGTCGCGTGCGCACGTGTACGTGTGGATACGTTCTCCTCGTGCGTGTACCCGTGTACTGTGAGGGTTTATTGTATCTTTGCAGAAGAATCCTGTGAGATTGTGCCGTCATCATGGATGGAAAAGTGTACACAGAGAAACAGAAGAATCCCAGGGCGGGCGCCAACGTCCTCAGCGCCTTGACATTCTCGTAAGTACGAAATGCAACGGCGGACGCTACTTAAGATCCGGCAAAGGGAGATAAAATAACAAGGAAGAAGAGATAGCGGTCCATAATTTAATATGAACTAGTAACTTAATATAAACTGTATATTATATATACAGTATAAAAATAAAATATAAAAGGACGTAGAAAAGTTAATTCATCGTTTTGAAAAATACATCGAGATGAAGAGTGGAAGATTTTGGAAAATAACAATGGTTGTTTCATCTTATCATCCTTTCTTATATCTTTGCGCCGGAAACTATCGATTATATCATGTATCAAGTTACTAAACTCGAAAATTTCCGG